TTTTTCTTTCACATCGATTTCTTTCTTTCTCCAACGTCGAAACAGCATATGTCGCGAACGTGATGTTATTGTATAACGTGATATATCTTGTATGATCTAATCTGGGAAAACATCCCGCAAAAGAAGCAAACAGCAATTTATTCGACCGCGTAATAACAAGGAAGTGCAGGCGATCAGCCGGGTCTCTCCCCGTCGAGAAAAACCGCATCTGTAATCCCCACCCTCCACCGGGGAACACCCTTCCGCGTCGGTACGCGTCCGCCCCTTGACGTATAAATCATTTGGGAGAGGCGCCAGGACATACACTCTCTCGGTCTCGCTTCGAATCCTGCGTAAATAAGATGCACATGTCCGCGGTAGGATATCGAGCGCGCGCGTGTATATCTGTGCGCGATATGCGTTTATTAAGATCGCTTTAAGATGTCGTCTCGTAAAGCCGAGAAAATGGACAGCCGAAGTTATTGAACTAATATAAGGGAGACAGACGCGATGGTTCTCGCGTATCCCTGTAAATTTATATATTCTTGAAATAGAATGTGCTTATCGCGCCCCAAGTTGTTTCCACGGCATGCATACAAAAAAAAATTTATCGAGTCAACTTAATTAAGTAATAATTCGTAAAACTCAAAGTCTTGTGCGGAACTTTGATCACTTTATGAAATTTATATGCAACTATTACGAGTTGATCGGCATCGTTAATACAAAGACGTGTGTAGGACACGCGCGCGCACGCGCGCGCTTCGCAATATTTATTATAAAATTTATACGGCTATATCGCAAACCGGTCGCCTTCCGATTCTTATACACGACCGAAGCTTCAAGTGTCCTCGCGTTCGTTCGATACCGGAAACGGGCGAGATGAGGGTGATTTAGAATGTCGTCAATCGGGCCGGAATGGTTCGTGGAATCATTTTACGCCCTCGTTTCTCCAGTGGGTGGGACGGGATTGCGAAGGAAAAGAAAAAAAGGGAGAGATGAAAAGAGAAAGAGAAAGGGAACGACAGCACGATCATCGAAAATCGTCCCCGGGATAATTAACTGTAGGGACGACCTCATTACGCGGCTTAATGAGCTAGCTGCCAGCAGTCGTGTCGCGTCCGTGTTGCGGTGCTGAGATACTTTTTTCAGTTTCGGGAGAATGGAGAGGAGCGTAAAAATTGCTTGTATCGCGACAATGATTTATCGTGACTAAGAGTCGGCGCGGCCTGATTTGTCAATTTAACAAGGCGCGTCCATGTCGTATCTTGAAAAACGGAACAATTAGTCGAGAAAAGTAAACAGTTATAAATTTTCGCGGCACGAAATTTTATTTCTTCTCCTATTTTGTTTTATTTTTCGCAACCGCAATCGTTCTTATACATATTCAACATATATCTTTTATTTTCTTAAGGAAAAATTTACAGTTCCGAATGATGATTCGCTACAAGATACAAGTATATCAACTATTAGCTACACGCAGTTGACTTTTCGCGTACTTTATTTCTATCGAAGACGTTTCTCAATCTATCTAATCACCTCATCGCAAAATCCTATTAAGACTGGCACAGAGAGAGAGAGAGAGAGAGAGAGAGAGAGAGAGCATAATAATACCAACTAACGAAATAGTTACTGCCGGTACGGTAAACCGAAC